TGCTGAACCATCCCCATGGAGCACAGGGTCTCTGCAGAGAGGATGGGCAGTAGTCAGGGACATCAGCATCCCTTTAGTGTTGAGCTGGGAGGATTGAGGGTGCATCCCTAGTGCTGGGTCGAAGGGGAAGGGGCACTGCCCAGGGAACGGAGGGTGTGCCACCCTAACACCAGGCTGGGGAGAAGAGGCACAGACCAGAGGGTGGGGCATAGCATCAAACTCAGGGATGGAGCCAGGGAAGTCTGGGCTGCACGGCACAGTCAGGGGCAGATAATAGTGCTAGTGTGGTAAACAGGGTTCCCAGTTTTTCCTCACCCCTGCTCCCTCACCTTTGTGCTCAGGGTGATCCAGGATCAGGTTCTGTAGGAGGAAGGCCGATTTCACCTTAAGTTTCTGCACAGGGCTCTGCATCGCCCGCATTAGCACAGAGAAGCCGTCCAGCCTCAGGAACTGTAGTAGCCCGGCCTCCTGGGCACGCACCAGGCCTGCCATGTGGGGAAAGAGGGGCAGAAACTCCATCAGCAAGGGCTGGATGGACTCTCCCCCGCCACTTCCTTTGCCTACATTACAAAGCCCATGCTGTATCCCCACCCCTGAGCCTGCCAGTGCCCCCTAGAAGGAAAAATGCCTCTGCCCATCCCCACCTCTAAGCCTGCCAGTACCCCTGAGCTCCACGGCCTGTGGAGCCATTCATAGTGGCCTGACTGCTGCCATTCATAGTGTGAACCATCTCACTTCAAAAATACCAAAGGGAGGCTTCACTTCTGTTTTTTTCCTTTTCCCCAGTTTCTTAGGCCATGCAAGTGGAGGATTTCGAAATGCCATCGCACACTGCTTTGCTTAGCCCTAATAGGCACTGTTTGGCAACAGAGCTTAGTGCCAAGAAATCTGTCATGCCATCGTGCCTGTAACAGCCTTGATTTCACATGCATGTGACAATGAACTCCATCTCCATGTGAAAGCATTGACTTGCAGCTCTAGTCTGAAATACAGACCCCTGCCCTGCCTTCTGCCCGAGTCCAGTCTAACACAGCTAACCCCCTCTCTCCACTCAGGGCCTGCCAATGGCACAGGAGACGAGCTCGGAGAGCAATTTGTTTGCTACCTTGTGGGCGTTTTGGATCAGCCCTGAGAGGGAGCCTGGCTGAGTCCCCCAAAACATCTGCTGAGGTAAGAGAAATGTTTAGGGAAAATACCACGTTACATTTTCCCAGAGAGAGCAGTGAGAGAAATGTGGGGCTTTTCCTACCTTCACTGCCTCTCCTTAGAGGTGGACGGCTGGGACTGTTTTCCATGGGGCCCCAGGCAGCCGTGTCCAGGACCCCTGGGCTTCTGGTCAGTACGATTCACAGAAGAGAGACCACCACTGGCAAAACAGTTGCTTCGCAGAGTGCAGCTGAATTCACATGGTAGTAGTGGAGACCTCCTCAGCTTAGGTATGGGAATAAGAAGGGCCCATCGCTGGCAGTGCTGGACCCCAGGGCTGTGTGAACCTCTGCTGAGAGGCGGCCAGCCCTCCTCTCCTCTCCTCTGTGTTCCCAACATTTTGCTCCTCCATTGTCAGACTGGATCTTTCTCCAGCTCATCTTCCTGGTCAGAGAATAAATCATCAGATCAGAGGGAATGCCCTCAGCACCCGTTTCCTGTGTGGATCAATGGCGTGGCAGGGAGCCAGAGGTTCCTGTCACTTTAATGAGGGTGCAGTGGGCCAAGTGGGCTGTGTGCAGCTGCAGCAGGAGAGCAGGTGCTAGCCATGGGGAAAAGGGGAAACCCCTGTGTGTGGCTGGTGAGCCACATGACCGGAAGGGGTGCAGCTTAGAGGTATATAAGCCCAGGGCCTGCGGCAAAAGGGGCAGTCTTGCCCTGCATGCTGGGGAGAAGGAGCTCCTGGGAGAGAGAGGCCTCATGGAACAGTGCCATGGACACCCAAGCTGCCCAGGGGTGCTAGACGGAGCAGCTAAAGGAAGGGTGACCGTCTGGCCTGGTTTGCTGGGACAGTCCCAGATTAAAGAGGTCAGCCTGGCTGGCTGAGAAGAATTATAATGGGTGCCTCGGAAATGCAGGGGTGCAGGGTAGGGAGTCAGAACGGCACTGATTGGCACAACCCAGCTAGCAGGCAGCAGCCAGGAACGGCTGCCCACCTAAAGGCAACCCAGCCCCCTGCCAGCTTGTGAGAGTGCAGGAGGAGAGGTTTGGGGCAATGTCCCGGATGTCCATGATCTTGTTATGGTCAGCCTAGCTAAAGGGAGGTATGCCTTGTGGTGAGGCATTGACCCAGAGTGAGGGTGAAGTTTAGCTTGGGAAGCTTCTTGCTTATACTTGCGTTACACTGAAGTCTAAGACTGGAGGACTGGGTTGTGGCTATGGGGGTGGTATGGAAGTCACGGGGGCACCTGCGAGGCACCCAGCATAGAGCTGTGCAGAGGGGAGAGACCTTAAAGGGCCTGAGCAGCATGAGAGCAGCCCAGCCTGGGTCAGGGACCCTGGGGGCGAGGATGCAAGGCAGCGGCTTTGCCAGGGCTAGGGCCAGGGGACCAAGCAGCTCAAGGTGGTTGAGAGCAGGGCCAGGGGCCCAAGTAGCCCAAGATGGGCAAGACCAGGGTCAGGGGCCTAAGGAGCCTGAGAAGGGCAGGATGGGATTGAAGTCCAGAACCTGAAGTCCAAGGCCATAGACCTTGGCTGAGGGAGCACAGCCAGAGAAAAGGGACCAAAGCAAGGAAGGCTGAAGCCCCAACAAAGGTTTGAGGCCTGTGCAGTCCAAGTGTTGTGATGGAGCCAGGGACCCCCTGAAGTGATACGAAGTACCATCTGCAAGGCATGGGTATGGCTACAGGGACAGATGGAGCCACTGTTATGCCTCTCAGGAGATATAGTGGATAAGGACAAGACTGGTAGCAGTTGGGCACATGGAGCACTAGACAGCTGAGGACTGAGGCTCACTCTGGGTCTCAGGGGCAACCTGCTGCAATACTATCAATCCAAACAAGACATAACCGGTTTGAAATAGCCTCTGTCCTACTCCTTAAATCCCATGCATCAGGTTAGTGACAAGGCCCAGTCCATGGTTTTTCCTCAGGTGAGTGGGACGCAGCCCTGTGGCCAGGATTGCAGGGTCTAAACAGAAATGCTTTGTTTGTGAAGTTACAAAATGCAGCAAATGAGCACCCTGCAGGCTAAGTACCCCCACTTCAGGCTGGAAAGGTGCCACGAATACATCCCATGGCATCCAGCTAGCAGGTAGGAAAACACTTTGGAGCTAGGAGTTGTCCTTGTCCAAGGGCTCTGCTGAATCTGACCTGTAAGATCCCCTCAGAGCTATTCCCAGTGAAAGGGCACAGGGCTCTTCCTGCCTGGGGTGGCTGTGGCCTGGATCAGGAGCATCAGTAACCTTGAGGTGGTGGGAGACGTACTTGAGGTACTGATAGCAGGTGCATGAGGTTTAGGAGGACCAGGAAGTGAAGGGCTGGATGGAAATGCTCATTAGCAACAGTCAGCAGCTTTGATTACGTCTTACTTGAGAGCTGTCTCATTGCTCACCCAGGCGCATCCAGGGGCATTGCTAGGGGTGCCTGTCACTGGGAGTGGGGTTGTGGCTTGGGCATTGCATTGGTTTTAATCAAATGCTTCATCTTCTCCGTCACTGACATCATGTCACCATGTCTTTCACTGCAGACACTTAAGATGCTTCTGGGGGCTGTACCATGGCAGTACCCACGCCCTCCCAGGAAAAGGATTTAGACAGATGACCTCCCGGTGTCCTCCCAGTAAGACACAATAACAGTAGGACATCAACAGCTGCTTGGTGGCAGAGCCCAGGTTCGAGAGGACCTAGGGGCTTGGTGTGTGCCTCCTTTTTGCATCTTGGGAAATCTTTGCTGTCGCGTTGGATACCTTTCTGTCTCACTACTTTGGGATTGCAATGTCTCAAGGTCCAACTAGTAATACGATGTTCAAGGTGCATCTGGCAGCATCCAGCAGGGCCAACCCGCTGCAGGGGAGCGTGGCAGGGTGGAACAGGTGCTTTGGCACCCTTCAAAAGTGGGCAGCTGTGGCAGCGGGAGACACCAGCACCGGTTAGTTCTTTTCGTCCTCCACCCCAATCTGAAAGAGCTGGTGTGGTCCTAGCGTCTGCCCTCAGACTAGGCCTGTGTTGCTCCCCAGCCAGATCTCTTGGTACTTAGAAGCCACACTGCTTCCAGCAAATGAGCCCTTTGCACGGATGTGCTGCTGTTCTGCTGCTGGGACAGCTGCTGCCTGAGCACCCAGTTTCCCCCCAGACACCATGTGTGTGCAAGCCCTGTCTTGTGCTGGGAGAGGCAGGGCTGGGGCTCCCCTGCCGTGCTGAGGACCTGGGCTGAGCTCAGGTGGAGACCAAGGCAGAACCAGAAGATCACTTGGCCCTGGGCAGAATCTGCAAGCTCAAGGGGTTTTCCTCAGGGAAAAGCTGAAGGCCTGGAGGTGGAGGGACCCCTTGTTTGATCAGCAACCACCTTAGCTTGTGGGAAGTACCTTTTGCTTATGGCCTTGATCTTTTCAGAGGGCATGGACCAAGGATGATGCCATGTCTGGGAAGAAGCCAGGGCAGGCAGAGGTGAGTTTTTCTCCCAGCTGTCCACTTGTGCCTTTGAACCCAGGCTAGGATCCCTTCAGGCCACTACCCATGGGGATACTTCACACTGCTTGAAGCTAGATTTCCAACATGTGTCTCTAGCAGGCAGCACCTATCAGTG